ATATTGTACGGGCGCCGTGCTCACGAGCAACAGCGTGTAAACGGCACGAGATCAGTCTCAAATCGTCCGTCGTGTACGTGCGAACAGAAAATAAAAAAAAGCGGAGCTTTATAATTGAACGGTTAAATGTTTTGTGCGCCAAGATGATTCCGCGCGTGGACCGTGCAAGACGGATGTCGAATCCGAGGCCGTTTACGACGACTCGGCGATGATCAAAAAAAAAAAATGTAATATAATATTATACATACATCTGTGTAATGTTTTATTACATAATATAGGCTTTGCATTGTTATCGCTTGAGCGCTGCACAAGTCGGACAGTAAAGGTATATATTTTATATTGTGTGCAAATTCGTACGACGGCCACAGCGTATATACTATATGATATAAGAGCCAATAAATATATTGTATTTACTATTTATGACTACAACTTACAAGATTCAAGTTCAGCTGTACAAATAATTTGTGATTGTTATGTAAACATGATTTATTACACAGCCATGCTCTAAATCTAATTTCGTTTTAATTGAACAAACTAATCAATTTTAATCGACGATTGTTCCGAGACTCCGTGTAAGGTATTTTCCAATTAAATCCACGCACGCTCCAGGACTCGAGTCTTGCTTTGTATCACGTTATGCCAAGCTCTAATTTTTTTATCACTTTCGTGCCGATATCAAATCCTCCTCGAGTTTATACCATATAACCTATTCTTTCTTGTGAAGCTGGTCCGATGTGTCTACACCGGCGAACTTCGAACGCAAACGACCTCGCCTGCTTATACGACCTCAACTCTATTGTTTTTTTTTTATTTACATCTATATAGACGTACACAATAATAATATAATATGTCAACTATACCGCAGAAACGACATACGAAAGCACCACTAGAGAAGGGAAAGACTTTTTTATTCTAATAATTACCTATTATTATAGTACTACTAGAATAACAGTATCTAACTCAACGTAATATATTATGCGTGTCTATTATAAAGATATTATATTTTATATTTTACCATTGCAGCTAACACCGTTTTTCGAAAGTCTGTCGCTAGTATTATTATAGTCTCATGCACTCTCCGTATATACTCTATATAGATTGAGACCGGTCCGCGAGTCTTTCGATCCGTCCGATACGAGATCGATCACACGTGGAGAGAGATTTTAAAATGGAGTTTCGCGCCAGTCGTGTGACTTGTGTTTGGCAGTCCGTCCAGGGTCGACGCGGCTGTTTATCAGTATAATATAAATTAAGTATGGGTACCATAATAATATGTGGGTCCACACGTTTCGCAAGACCATTTCCAAGACATACGTATAGCGTTAATCCGGCTTCGCAAATCGTATTTTTGTAGTGTGCGCGTGTATGTGTATTTTTACTGTGCCTATATAATATATTATTAATTTATTTTAGAATGTGCAGTATACTTATATATTGATAGAATATAATATCGAAGCGATCACGGTCGTTCGATCGGAACAGAAAACAATACATAATAATAAAGTCTTATCGCGGCCTATTCAAGGTCGACGATCACAAACGTAAATATAATACCTTTTAGTTGCTGTGTATAACATAATATTATATAGGTATTATTGCAGTGACAACTGATGACATTGCGTGGCTGCTGCAGAGGGCCTACCCACACACACACACACACATACACACACGCACACATTCAAAGAGGAAATAGGATATATCTCCGAGGGTTTCGTATATACGATACATATTACAGGGGGGGCGCGTTCCTTCCTGCGCGCGTGTCCTGGCCGTATCGCGCCTATACACATACACGACACTGCAGAGGTTTTGTACTCAGCACGCGTTCACCCTGACAGCTGCGGTTTTTCCGAAAACCTATACACAACCAGTGCCATATTATAGGTATACACTGGAAACCGTGGTTTAATTTCGGGTTGCAGTTTCGGCGTGACGTAGAGTAGGGTTATAAAAAAATATGACATATAATAGTGGTATTATATACATATAATATTATGTTGTTACTTGTTATACTGATAATCAAGCTAGGGGATTATATTTTTGTTGTATCGTATATTACACTCATCACGTGCGTTGTGCTCGTTTACGTTCGATATTAAAGAATATTTTAATAGTTATAAGGTACTTTTTTATGATTATATTATTATATAATATGAGTAATAGGTACCGTTTATAGTTGTACATTTGTTCAAATTGTATACCTATACGCGGGTTTCGTCAAGAAATGCACAAACAGACACGCAACTTGAACAATATAATATCTATGTATATATAATATATTATATATTTGTATTATCGAATAGTAAATTACTTTTATTTAAAAGTTAAAGTCCATTAGTCTATTACATTAACGCAGCGCCCAAAACCTTCGACAAAATATAATTTTGATGATTCAAATCGGTAAACAAACGAAATTACAATATGATTATCCGACACGTTAACCACAACAATAATTATAATTTATAAGTATCCGTCACGTTTTTTTTTTTTAAATAAAAGTTCACCTTTTCATATTTTAAAACAAATATGATAAGTAATAATTCAAATTTATTCTCGGAATATACTATATAGTACATCGTATTGTCCATTAGTTTTTTTTTTTAATGAATACATGATCAAAATAATATTTAATAATTATTACATTGTACTCGATAACCTATTTACATACTATGTAAGTCCATAATACCTAGGTATATATATATTTTCAACTCAAAAAATATTTATAAGTTCCACTTTTACTAGTAATGTTTAAATATATATTTTAATAGCAGAAAAATGTTTTTAAATTAAAAGAATATTAATATGTTTGAAATATATTATATTATTATTATGATTTGTTACATAGTGAATAATTTTAGTAGGTTAAAAACTAACATAATATTTAATATGATAAAACATTAACATTTCTATTATAGTGTTTTGTATATATTTAGCTTTATTGCCTAAAATCAAATACTCGTTTTTTTTCAGTCTCATCATCGCTTGTACAACAATCGTGTATGTTTAAAATCCTTATTTATCATCGTATAAATAAATGAAAAATCCATTGAAACTCAGAATACTTACCTACCTATGATACGTGAATGTTACGAAACACATTTTCGTTTCCAGTTGAACCATTATAAAAAGACAAAAAGACGTAAAGTGCATATTATGAGACGCGGTCTTGATGAATAGCTTACATCTATATGACCTAAATGCATCCAAGCAGATGGTTTAATGTTTCATAAACGAACACTACCGATCACATCCATATATACATATATATATATATCATAAATGTGCTATGATATTTAAACAGCTGTGCTGTAGAGCATTTATTATTATACATAAAAAGGGCGCGCTCCCCCGTTCGATAATTTTCTAAAAAATAGTATGATGAGTAAAATATTAATTCATATATAGGTTTAGCACGTGTTCAAGCCAAGCTATTTTTTCAAGTAAAACTAACGACTAACCGAGAGTAAATGATTATACTTAATTAATTTTATATGAATACAGATGATTGCAGGTATACATATGTAATGTTATGTTTCGTAATAATAATTATTTCCTAGTGAGCGGTGATTAAAGACTGCAGTGTATAGGGAAAGATCCCCACGTATGATTGTTCGAGTCGATGCATTTGACTAATAAATTAAGTCATCACAAGATAAACGATTTATCCACAACATTAAAACGTTGAAAATAGCTCTATCATTAAATAAAAATTAATAATTCTTAATCATAATTTATTTCGAATAGATATAGGTTATACACGTCATGCATATATTATACACCGTTTAGATGTTCTCCGTTATTATAGTGATATAAGGTTTGTTCCAACACACGGTCAAACTATCATCGAACTGCCCGGAGCATGCGCAGTAGAATTTTTCCGTTCCAACTCGTCTGAAACGCAAACTCAAACTGTCAGATGGTTGTTCCAACACGTTATTAGACCAGTTGTGTGACTGGTTATTGACAGTCAAAACAATCCGCGGATTTTGACCGGACTGGGAGTCCGAGACACTGTTATCATACATTTATTTATTTATTTATGTTATCAATTTGGTTATTTGTATCAGTCGTTCGCATTTGAATTTTAATTTTTTAGTTAAAATACTAATCTAACAATCAATGAATCAAACAATGTCAATGTTATTCATCAGAAAAGTGTAACTAAACATGAATTGTCATCCTCTACTACAACCAGTGCAAAAACATCAAACTCTACTACAGTGATTAGTGATTACTAACGAAAGTATCACGGTTGACAGTAAGTTAATATCTATTATTTTATATTTATTTTATTATATAGTTAATTATTCGTACCTAAATAGTTTTTTTCATTTGTCAGATACCTATATCCACAAGTTTAAAAAAAAAATTATTTTAAAATTACTAATACTTCCCGAGATATTAACTGGTTCACGATAAAAAAATCACCCTGTATATTGTAGTAATCATACAAATTCAATGCAAGGGGTAAATTATGAAGTGTTAGTATTGGTTTTTTTGTCAGTCAAGCAATTTTATACCAAGTATCTGGAAATGATTAAAATACACAGTTTGGTGAAGTTAGGTTATTTTATATTCATAAACATTGATGTAAATAGTAATTAATATGCACCTGTGCACCTGTGGAATTTGGTTTTATTGTTACTGTCAAATGTTACTACGCCTAATTCTGAATCCCGATTCATCGTATATTATAATAACTATGTATTTATGAAATTGGTATTACTCCGTAGTAACTGGCTTACTACAATATTAGTGTTACGTTTTAATGTGTATACAATTTTTTTTTAGATACACAGACACAGAGCTCTTTTACCACTCATTGAAGTTTAAAATTTATACGTTTGAACACAATTTTAAAAATGGAAGGTATGTTCATACATAGTTTTAGATTCTGTACATTACGTTTTGAACGTTTGTATGTTTTTTTACTTATCTTAAGAAATACATTTTTTTTTAAGTATACATTTTCAATTTCAGAGTTAAATGAATTTATAGTCATGGCATCTGGGGTCACCACTGCTATCCAAGAAGAGTGTAGGTGGAATACACATAATTCCAAGACATTGATAGATTTATACAGTAAATATAGGGAAAAAGTCGGAACAATGAAAATTAGAAGTTTAAAACAAATGTGGGCAATAATTTCCGACGAAATGAGTCAAACATATCAAATGAAAATAAATCCGAATAACTGTGAAAATCGATGGCGCGTTTTGGAAAGAAATTATAAAAAGTATGTCGAAAACAAAAATAGTACAGGACGAGGAAAAAAATATTTTGAATTCAGCGAAGAAATGGACCAGATATTTGCACATAAAAAAAATGTCCACCCTGAAATTTTACTATGCTCTGAGGAGGTTCATGATGTTCTTAATTTTTCCGAACAAGATGTTTGTCCAACTCAAGGACCTTCTGGTCCATCAACCTCAAAAAAGGACACAAATGAAAACATTATTATTTATCAAGAAGAAGTTACTAAAAAAAAAAATTTAAGGAAGAAAATTAGCACAATTGAAAAAATTAGACAAGATAGATTAAATTATCAACAAAAAAGATTAGAAATAGAAAATGAAAAATTACAACTACTTAAAAATAGGAATGAGCTCATTAAGGAAAGGAATATGATATTGCAATCACAATGTTGTTGCAAAAAAAACAATACTACATATGACTACTCAATTGTTGGATGCGATAAGACTGCAGTAATGGAAAGCGATGATCACGATATTATTCTTCAGATGTAATCAAAGCAGTACAGTGTGTGAATATTTTTATGAAAAAGTTAAGATTTCATTTTGTTATGTTTTAAAATTTAAATCTATTGTACTATACATGAATAAGTTGTACTATTTATATTTGCCTGTTATTATTATTATGAAAAAGTGGGACTGAAATTTAATTTGGTTATGTTTTAAAATTTAAATCTATTGTTCTATACATGAATAAGTTGTACTATTTATATTTGCCTGTGATTATTTTGATAAAAAAGTTAAGATTTCATTTTGTTATGTTTTAAAATTTAAATCTATTGTACTATACATGAATAAGTTGTACTATTTATATTTGCCTGTTATTATTATTATGAAAAAGTGGGACTGAAATTTCATTTTGTTATGTTTTAAAATTTAAATCTATTGTTCTATACATGAATAAGTTGTACTATTTATATTTGCCTGTGATTATTTTGATGAAAAAGTTAAGATTTCATTTTGTTATGTTTTAAAATTTAAATCTATTGTTCTATACATGAATAAGTTGTACTATTTATATTTGCCTGTGATTATTTTGATAAAAAAGTTAAGATTTCATTTTGTTATGTTTTAAAATTTAAATCTATTGTACTATACATGAATAAGTTGTACTATTTATATTTGCCTGTTATTATTATTATGAAAAAGTGGGACTGAAATTTAATTTGGTTATGTTTTAAAATTTAAATCTATTGTTCTATACATGAATAAGTTGTACTATTTATATTTGCCTGTGATTATTTTGATAAAAAAGTTAAGATTTCATTTTGTTATGTTTTAAAATTTAAATCTATTGTACTATACATGAATAAGTTGTACTATTTATATTTGCCTGTTATTATTATTATGAAAAAGTGGGACTGAAATTTAATTTGGTTATGTTTTAAAATTTAAATCTATTGTTCTATACATGAATAAGTTGTACTATTTATATTTGCCTGTGATTATTTTGATAAAAAAGTTAAGATTTCATTTTGTTATGTTTTAAAATTTAAATCTATTGTACTATACATGAATAAGTTGTACTATTTATATTTGCCTGTTATTATTATTATGAAAAAGTGGGACTGAAATTTAATTTGGTTATGTTTTAAAATTTAAATCTATTGTTCTATACATGAATAAGTTGTACTATTTATATTTGCCTGTGATTATTTTGATAAAAAAGTTAAGATTTCATTTTGTTATGTTTTAAAATTTAAATCTATTGTACTATACATGAATAAGTTGTACTATTTATATTTGCCTGTTATTATTATTATGAAAAAGTGGGACTGAAATTTAATTTGGTTATGTTTTAAAATTTAAATCTATTGTACTATACATAAGTAAACACACAACTTTTAACTTACCAACCTCCTCCACTAATTATGGTTTAAAAAATAAAATAAAATATAATATAATAGATAGGTATGTATATTTTATATAAATATATTTACATAACTAAACGTAACTTAAATTTAAACTCTTAACTAGTAATAGTTAAATAAAAAGTGCATCTACTATTCTGTCCCTAATCCTTTTGGCATCTTGGTCTTCCTCAATATCCTCTTCCTCCAAAATGCCTTGGTTTTGTGGTACAGCTTGTATTTGTGCGTTTGATGCAGAGAAATCTTCTGAAATTTCTTCGAGGAATTCATCATCAATGGCAATGTTGTGTAACACACAACACGCTCGCATAAAATGAACAATTTTAGTGATGTTCCTGAATTTTAAGTGATACAACTGTCTAAATTTTTGCTTCAAAATTCCAAAGCAGTGTTCAATGCGATATCTGTTTTGGCTCAACTTTAAATTATAATTAAATTGCTTCCTTGTTAACTGCCCTCGGTCCTTGAATGGGGTCATCAATCGCGTTTGTAACGGATACCCACTGTCACCGAGCAAGAAATATGGACCACATTTTTCTTCCAAAGTATTGCAGATTGGTGAATTCCTGAATACCCTGCTATCGTGTACGGACCCAGGATAACCAGCAAAAAAATCAATGATTTTGCGGTTGTGGTCACAGACAACCTGCATCTGTATTGAATAATATCCCTTTCTATTTATGTATGAATCTGGATCATTATCAGGTTTATCTATTTTGATATGGCAACCATCGATAGCCCCTATAGCCATAGGAAATCCATTAGCTCTGAATGAAATCTCTGATTCTCGTTTTTCTTCATCGTTAGGCCATTTGATTATTTGTGGCGAATAGTTGCTCAAAAAGTATGTAAGCCGTTCAATAATTCTATGCAGAGAACTTAGTGTAATATTGAAACGGTCTGCAACATCACGGAAGCTTGCAGTTTGGTGCCCAACAAACCACATAAATATAAGGACCTAAAATCAATGAATGGTAAAGTGGTAGGTGCATTGTGTGAACTGTTAATATTATATTAAATGCTAGCTAATACCATTGAGTATATCTTTGGTCCCAGGTAAAAAGGGCTTAAGTCAATTTTTCACAAAAATGTTTTTTTCCGTAGATTTAAAGCTTGATTTTTGCTGATTTTTTTGGTCCAAAATAAATCAGTGATGATTGTTACTGACATTATTAAATAAATAAATAGGGTATATGTGGAGTTTTTCTATTTTAAGTTTGGTAGAAAAGGTATAACATGACTTATACCCTAACCAGGTATAAAAGACTTAATAAATAATATGAACCATTTAAAACATTAAATTTAAGGAGAAGGAGAACAAGAAATTTAGAATTGATGTTAGAATAAGCATATGATGAGATATTACCTATATCGAAAGAAAAGAAAAAATACTTTAATAGATCTTCTTCCTCTGATATTTATCATGATTTCTACAAAAATTTAAAAAACAATGAAAGTGAAGACCCATCATATAACCCAGATCCCAGTGAATCTGATTAAATATAATTAAATTATGTTAAATAAAACTAAAAGGAAAACTATTTTTTAATAATTCTTATGTTACAAAAGTTAAAATCTATTTTGAATTTTTTTATTATTAAGTTTCAAGACTAATTTGTTATAAACTTTAATTCTTATATCAAAATATATATTGTACTATTTAATAAAATTGTATTCTAGAGTAAACATTAATTTGTAATTATTTGATAAGTTTTGATCAAAATCATATAAGTCATAATTTATTTGATCAAAAAGGCTTGTCGTAAAAAAAAAGAGTCAGAATAAGTGAAATCCAAAATAAGTAATTAGTTAAGTCTATAAATAATTACAAATTTAAGAATTTTAGGTCATAAATGTACACAGAATTTGATTAATATACATAAATGATTTCTATAATATTTGTGGTTGTGATACTAATATGTGTAGGGAATTTCCAAACTTTCAAATGGGCAATGGCTGAGCTGAAAAGTTGATTAAATTAAGCCCTTTCTACCTGGGATTAAAGATATATTATAATCAATGCTCAAATAGGTACAATGTACATAAACTGAACTAAAACACTACCAACCTGGTCATCCGCAGGTATTTTACCAAATTGGCCATGTCTGTTTTTTTTAAAATAATTACTTTCTCTGTATAAATCAGTAATCCTTGTTGTCAAATGACGACTAATCCTGAAATGCCCAAAATATGTTTCACAATCATATTGTTGGACAGTTTCTTCTAAACAAAAAAAAAGTAAATTAATCGTTAATTAAACAGAAGCCCGTTAACATCTACTCACCTATAAAACGTTCGTTTTTTATTTTATGGTTATTAATTAAGTCCAATCCGTCGTCAGAGGAAGAACTGGATGCAAAAAAGTCATCTGAATCGTGAATATCGCTCATTTTTAATGCAATTAACAGCAACCACAGACAAGTTTACTAAGCAAAAAGTAAACCATACAAAAAAGTACTAGTAAACAGTAAACTAAGCTGTATTTACAGCAACCACAGTAATGAATGCCGCCAATGCCGGTGAGACCGTAAGGTAGGCACTAGGCAGGATCGCAGGAATGCAGGATATGCTTATCACCTGCTGGCTGCTGGGTCTTCAGTTTTGTATTCATACTCGGGGACAGCGACCCTACTACCAGTATTACGGCACCATACTTTTTATTTTAAATTTGGGCACACTGTAAGCGCAGTCCATCAGTATTCAGTCAGAAACGCGTTCCAACAGTGGTCAAAATCCACGATCAGTCCACGGTAGCGCATGCGCCGTAAATCGATCAGGTATCAGTCGGCAACTAGTCCCAAATCCCGTGTTGGAACAAACTTATAATAATATAATAATACGCTTTAAATTATTGTCGTTTGCTAATTTCATGGTTTTATAATTTATAATTTTATTATTATTTGATTCGACAAATCCATAGGTTTTATTTTTTGGCATTTGACAACAGTATGCAAAAACTATATTCATATACAATTTTGTTTTACAAAAACAGAAAAATCTAATATGAATACAAACAATAATATATATACTGAATAATAACTATATGCGTTATAATATGTACCTTTAATGTCCTTTATACATCCGACTTTCCACGTCGTATTCATACAATCACAGTCGTGTGTGACCATACATGTATGGTGCATACAATATATTTATATTAAGTGTTTAAAGGGGAGGGGGGAGTGGACACATGCATAATATAATATGATGTCACATGATGCAAATCCTAGTGCAGGATAAATATGTACACGGAACGACTTATAAATTCAATGTTTATGGTTCACGAATCGAAAACAAATCTACCTATATAGGATTGTTATTCTGTTGTCTGTATATTATAGAAATTGCTTGCACAATTTTTTATTTTTTAAACACGCGTTTCCAGGTGAAATTTGTGTCAGAACGCGTACCGCGTGCAGTGTGGATATATATAAATATAATATAGCGTTCTGGAAAAATAATTACAAAGTAGGTAAATAAATAGTAATAATAGTAGTAATATAAGAGCCATAATAGATATTATATATTATATGGTTGTAAAAATAATAATACAAAACCTATAACTTAACCCTCCATTGCAATGGTCTTATACAGCACGAGTTGCTCGTAAAAGAAACAATACGACTCGAGCATGGACAATATAAATTATAATATTTAATTTAAATGTTGTATTTCAAGAATTTCGACGTTCATTGTATAGTCGTTTTCGTAACAGTGGTAAATTACTTATATATTATATTTACTTCATGTCGTAAATTTACGAAAACCGTCGTGGTCGCGTTCTTATCTACATATTTACGGAATTTAACTGTACCTGTACGGCTATACCTATATAGAATATATACTTACCAAATGTGAATTATGCCGATTGCCGAGTGTGATTCCCAACGGAATCAGTCATCGTCGTAGTGCATAGGTGCAGTCTCGTGTCGTATCCAGTTTCCCGTGGAGTTCCAGGAGTAACAAAAACTTCGACTTGTGAAAGTCAAGCACTACGCGCGTGATGTGTTTTCTTTGAAATAAAATATAATAATAACGTAACGCGTCGCGCTAATGGAGTTGACTAGGATAATATATTATTTATACCTTATGTATTGGATATCGATAACAGACAATATACATATATACCTACCTGATACCTACATTTTATATACATATGTATATAATATACATATACGGCTTAAACCTACGTGGAGCGTGTTGTTATCACGGCGGTATTTAAAAAGAAAAAACACGATCGATACGAGCGCTGGTGTATGTGTATAATATAATATATTTGTGCAAAATGTGAAAGTTAAGCGTACCTGCAGCAGCCTATATGCGAGTGCGTGCGTTTTTTTATTTTGATATTTCGCATCAATGGAGGAAACGAGGGTATATAATAATGTTACTGCAGGACGATGAAGGAACGGCTCGTACGTGAAACCAGTTTGTATATAAAACTTGTCTCCCGGCAAAAATATATTCTATTGGCTCTACTTAAATATAATAATATAATATGTAAATATAATATACCACGAGGATGGATATTATATACATAAACATTTTTGTATATTAAATTCGTTAAATATATTATATGTGCCGAGTATAAAAATATGTATGTACCTATACATTAATACACTGCAACAATGCAACATATAATATTTAATGCAATATATGTCATCTTATATCTTATACTTATACGATACGCCGAACGGCCAAACTTATCCGTATATACCGCACCATCCCGACCTTGCAGGCGTTAATAATATTATTATGTACAGAGACTTTAACGACCCCGCCGCGATGCTTTAAACCACGCGTAGCTGCAGGAATATAACATGGCGTAATAATAATAAATAATAAAATGTTTAAGAGGACCGTTATTGTTGACAGATTGGTGCTATCGTCGTGATTATTGAACGATGAGCGCTCGCAGCAGCATCAGGATCAAAAGTCCCGTGGGATGCAGATGCCACTACATACTGAAACGATGTATGGCCATCCATCTGCAGAAACAGTCCCTAGTCCGGTACGTCCCGCAACAAGCGGAAACCTCGCCATATTGGATGTACGACAACGGGTACCTAATATTCCAGGCAAGTACATTCAATTATAGCATATAATAATATATATAATATTATATGAAACATAATAGCATAAGTTGTATGTTAGAATTTATTAGACGCTGCACCTTCGATAGGATAGTTCGATATATTATACCTATTAGTCGCGGTCTTCGGCGATTTAACAATAATAAATCTATATAATTTAGTCAATGTATAAGGATAATGATGATGTACCTATATAGTATTCTCCTAAATGTTTATACCGTCAGTGTATACTGTCGTAAAACCTGAAAAGTCGTCGTCATCGTGATATAGCTGCAGCTATACCATGGTATATTTAGTGCGTCGTTACTCGTTATGAAGCTTCATCAGCTCGCATCCAAACGCATCTCATTTGAATATATTATTAATTATTTTATACTGTTTTCGGGTTTTTATATTATTATTATTATTGCGTTCTTAGATCCGTAGATGTTTGTAGTCGTTGTTTTCGTTGAGTTTTGTGTAATAACTTTTTACTGCATCTCATAAAATGTTTCGATACATCGCTAAACGACTAAATCAACATACGATATTATATGTCTTATATTCGATTTTATAATAATGCTTAAAAATAGGTACAGCCAAATTATACGAATGTTTACCATTTTTCATTAGCTGTATTTAAGGTATAATAAGAGTATAAGACACAATATCATGTTTTCGGTCAAACGAGTACCGACTGCAACTATAATATATACCTTTACAAAATATTGTGTTCCCGATAGATTGCATGAGTATAGCTTACAGGCATCTATATTGGTCGTTATACGGTCAAGCTCCAAACATAATAATATAATACGACTTAATTTACATCTTATAAGTGGCGTATAAATAGGTACATATTTATCGTCGAATTTCAATCTGAATTTTATCTTAAAATTATTCGCGACTCCGTGAAACATTTAAAATCGAAATAAACAGGTATATGTTCAAGAATAGAATACTATAATATAGGTTCTACGTGTTCTACAGCTGTGTCGACCGACTGCAGATATAATGAGATTCATTTAACAGACGCGCAATCAATATCCATAGAGTACCTACGCGCTTATAATGCCTACTCATTTATTATTTATTATACTATTTACATTGTTCTGCTATTCTTTTTGTAATGACTAACAATCATTAAAATACAACTACTGTCTAATTGTGCGTGCTATTTTCTATAATACTACAGTGTCATGATGGAATTCTTAAATAGTTAAACAGATTATTATAAATTATAATGTATTGTCTGCTGATCGTATATACCCTACTGTATATTTATGCATTTTATAAGTATAGCTACTTTTGCTGTGTTTATTCTATCTATATAAATTATGTATTTACACACGGATGTACGAATTATATTATAATTAGTGGTTTACACTAGATTTAAATTAATTTCTCGATAAATGTTTGGTTTTAGAGCTTTTTGGAATCGAATCTAAAATGTGTCTGGAATCGAAGTCTCGTAGAGGCGATGCAAGTGGTCAAATACGAGGGATACGTATCACCGGGAGTGCTGTTGCTCACCGGTGATCCGTGCTCCATGGAGGTAATACGAGGCGCCTGGTGTCGTAATGTGCTCAGGCCACCGAACAGTTACGTGATCACTAAAATAGGTAAGACGATAATTATTATATATTATAGTATTATCATGTTATATAGCAGCATTCCCTAATTGCAGCATGCCTATATGTAAAATAGTATATAATATGACAATTTATGTACCCAAACGTGTGAATTCTGGGCCGTCCCTAGAGCAAGGCTAGCGCGGCCCTCGCTCTGGACCCCGGGCCTTCACCAATTGGACAGGCCCCGCTTTTGTCGATACAATAAAAAAGTCAAGTTAATAAGAAAAAAAAATTATCAATTATATATTTTTATACCTTCAATTGTTGTAATTTGTACTACCTATTATACGGCTATACCTGCTACTTAATACTTATATTAATAAACGTATCACATTTTAAACGAGTTGATGTGATTAAAATTCAATTTTCAAAGTTGAAAATTATAAATATCTTCAAAGTGCTCTGTCCCAATAAAGGCACCAACTTAGCTATAATATTTATAGAAAAAAAATGCTGACTAACCAAAATTTATATTTAAATTTAAATTTTATTGACGGATTTGCTAATTTAAGACGCAGGAAGGTTAATTAATAATATATTAGATTCTGAGTGGAGCGAAAAATTTTATTGATTTTACGTGCGTGTTTTTTTCTGTTTTGTAAGGCACATTAGTAAAAGTGCTCCGATTTTCGAGATCAGCATCTTTACTGATAGAAAAGTGAATCTAGTTGATATTTTTGGAAAGTCAAAATTAAAAATTTCAAGTAGTTTAAGAAAACGTTGAGAAAAACAAAAAAATAGGTTACTTTTATACAAAACCAATTTTTGAAAATAATCGATTTTATTTTTTTGTTGTATCTCAAAAATTAATAACTGCAGAACCTTGACATTTTAAGCAAATCTTTATATTAGAATTTTCCATTAAACACTTTCTCAATATTTTGACTATTTTTTAGCTAGTTATAGCCTTGAGCCCTTAAGAAATTTTTCCATTTTTCTAAATTTTTTAAAAATATCCTCGATTAAATCTTTTTCATTTAGTAAAAAATCTTGAAAATGTAATGATAGGTTCCTTATAATTTTCATTAATGGAAGTTTAAAAATAGATGGGCTCAATTATTTGTTAGATAAAGTTCAAATTTTGACAAAATTCATAAAAGTTTTTCTTTTCATAGCTAACATAAGTAATTTTAATAGAAGGTTTTCAACAAGTTTTTGCACCTCTATCAAACTAAAAAGTTTCCCCGGAAAGTCACGTTTTCGATCTTTGTTAATTTTTTTTTTACTACTAAAATTGATTATTTATACAAGTGTGCTAGGCTGATATAACGTCTCCGCTCAGAATATTTTTTCGTTTACAATAATTTATCAATGTAATTTAAATATAACACATCCATTACAACGACATGCTTGACAGCCGCTGTACAGCAGAGTGGTACCCACTTGTCCACCTTTTTTCATATTGTATTAGGTGCCTACTATATTTAATATTTATAGACTTATTAATTTATCAATATTACCTATTATATTAAGTTTAAATATATTACTTTTGTTATTAATTAATTTACTTAATCATATTATTGTAAGTATGTTTGAGCGTAGTCCCCTTATACCTAGGTATATATCATAATATTAAATATTTAAATATATGCAACTGCCAACTGACGATAATGACATTTTAGGCCTCTCAAATTTACTCTGCCCTGGGCCCCGCAAATCGTCAGGACGGCCCTAATAAAGTGAATTATACATTCAATATTATATAGATATGTTTGTTTGTTTCAGGCGACGTAGAAGACTGTGTGGTGGAGGATTTGAACCAAGGACAATTTACGCCGTTATCCGAAGCCCTATGCCTAGTCATACTGGAGCTAACCAGCGCAAACCAAAATGCCACAATTGACACTGTGCGTTCAGCTCTTAAAATATTTTTCTCCAACATACAACCGCCGGCCGAACACATTATCTACGACGCGATGGTCAATCTCATGTCCGATAATAAGGTATATATATATATTAAAGCTTAAAAAATTATTTTAATCCGATTAGATTTAATGTATTATACTTGATGCCTATATCCTTAAAACATCTCGACATTTTACAAACTTTCTATTTTCCGTTTTTTAGTCACATTAAATTCTTATACTATTTAATTTAAACGTTTTTATCGTGTAATTTTTATACATTAAAATAAACAATATCATCAATTGTAATTTTATTCATACGTGACTTTGTTCTATAATTATGCCTAGGTTCTACAGTTGTATGAGATAAAAGTAAAAACAGTTTTATTTTGACTAATGTGATTAATGATGAAGAACATACAATTAGGTACATACATAATATAATATGATATAATGTAAAATCTGCAAATCGATATAAAATTATATTTTTAACTCAATATATATTATCGGCCTTGAATGAAATAAATAGTATCTGATATTGCTTCATGAGATAGGTTTATATGCTTAGACATAATATTATCCACGGTTCTTTAAGAAAATTCCCTCATAAACCGGTTTCATCTGAATTATTGTTCGGGCAACTCAATGTAATATAATGGAATTTTATATAGATATACCAGACCTCCAGGGGTTACTTTGTTGTGACGCCCGAGGTGCAGCGACTAGTAGGTTCAGCGACCGCTAGCCCTGCACACAGCTTGCGGTTGGGAGGAAGTAGTCGGTACAGCCCGAGCAAAAAAGGGTTCTTGATGTCTACGGAAGAAGCGTACGTGAAGGTTCACGGTGATATAGAGACCTTAAGAGACGGCGACCAAACTCATCAAAACATACAAACCAATTTGGCAGACATCATATCTGGCGGTGAGTCTAATCACCGACTGATTTTTAAAACGTCGAATTACTACATTTTATTCATTTTATTTCCTGAGCTGTTGTTTTTAGCAACATGGACTTCTATAATACATTATTATAAGCAATAATGGTATTAACTATTAATAAACGTCTTATTTTTGTATTTGATCTCATATAATATCAATCACTGCAATATTGAATAAATATTATATTATAAGATGCTTGTATATAAGTAGGTGCATTTGGTGTACTGGAACGTCTTAAATTAATAAAAAAAATGTTTAATCTTGTTACGATAAGTTTAATATAAAATATAGAACGGAAATCTATAGTTGGATTAAGCATTTTTTTTAATAACTATATCAAATTAGCTGCTATAACCCGGTCGATCGGAAACGTATACCGCGGAGTGCGAGACATTATTATTTATTAGCAATATTGTGTGCCGAGTTCCGACAAAATGAAAACAAAAAGGTGAACGTCGGATGCCAAACGTGTCAACAACATTCATCATTCATCAAGTGCCCCTTAATACGTGATAAAAAGATTGAAAAACGTGCCGTTACTTACCTCTCCCCACCCCTATCTACACACACAAACACACAGGGCAACGCCGACATTGGGACGTTTTTGTTGCTAAACAGGTGAAAGGACTAGATTTTTATTTAAAACTATACAATATGTATACTCGTCCATTTATAATATGCGACACACGAATTACCGTTGTAGAAACATATTTTTTCACTATCATTAATCTGCAATCAAGTTTAACCCATATAATATTATTATTATTATAAACTGTGATTTGTTTGTTTCACTGTAATTTTCCGTTTCGCGGCCGACAAACATATACTAGGTAGGTGTAAGTGGCGGGACAAGGCTATGGCGGCCAAACCACTTGACATAAAATCTCTACAAAAGTATCGATCCTCTGCTTTAAACTATAATATAAATATACTATAATATACCTACTATCTATAAAGGTATACAAACTAAAGTAACAACTGAATCCAAGTATATACCTATATAAATGTAGTATTATGTTCATTAGGGTGAAATAAGTGCTTTTCATTTTATATTTTTACTTTTTCAGTACACCCACAACGAAAATATTATATATTTTATTATATGATTAACTTAATACAATAGGTATGAAGAAGCATCTCTCGGCGTATTGCTGATCTCGAGTTTTGAGGATTGTATGTAGGTACCAGCTATAACATATTTGAGCTTCCGAGGTTCGCATCTCGTTTGTCTTATATACAATATATTTATTGTATTTTTATAGGAGCTATTTATAGTTTTGACATTTTCAATTTTTATTAGTTTAAAATTTTCACTCGTTCAAAAAACTTGAAAATGTAATACTAACTTCCTCGTAATTCATGAGTTTTAGTCATTGGAAATTAAAAAAAAAAAGTTGAGCGTAAATCCACAATAATTTTTTCGGGAGCTTAAGTTAGAATTTTGAGAAAATTCGTCAAAATCATGAAAATTTGAAATTTATTTTAATTTATAAATTACAAAAGATTTGTCTTATTATATCTGAGATTTGAAAATTTAATTCAATATTCCTTGTGAGTTTGTCTACCTTAAGCAAAAAATAAATGTCTACTGGGAGGTCAAAGTTTAATTTTATGAGCTTATGAAGTTCAATGACATTGGATATTCACTTTATTTCTCAAGGAACTACTAAAGTAAATACTGGAAATTTACACCACATGTTTATTTTATAATTTTCTATACTTGATAAACTTTTCAAAATATTTTGACACGTTTTGAGCTATTTACGGACATTTAAAATTTGATGTTTGAAATATTTTTAGTTTTTTGTTCTATAAATGTCAATAATTGTTACTTGTTAGGTCAATAAGTTTGAAAATGAAACACAAGGCTCCTCGCATATGCTACATTGTTATAATAGTAATTTAAAAATATTAAAAATACATAGTCATGATTTTTTTTATAAGCATTTAAAGTTCACAGTTGGCAACATTTATTGTAAATTTATTTTAAATTTGCAAATTATTTTGTAGTTAATAAATAATAGTTTATAAATTGTTCAATTTGTATAGCTAAGAATTGAAAATGTACAACAAGGTTACACTTAAGAAGTTCATGCAGAATCATGATGTAAACAAAAATCATAAAAAGTATATAAACATGGATTTTTTTTTAGGCATAACGATTTTAATTGTTTTATTATAATTTAAAAGTGCGTATTATTCCTAGGTACCTACTTGAAACTAAATATCATTGAATTCAAATTTAACAAATACATTACAGTGACTTCTCTAGACACCTAAATACCTAATAATGCACCTACAGCAGAGCATTATCCACTTGCCCTCTTTTTTTTTTATTTTAAACTACTTTTAAACAAAAAAATATTGTTTTAAATTTTAAAAAAATTTGGGCAGGACTGCGCTATTTCAATTTTTCAAGTCTTGTGGACTGAATAAAGTATTATTTTCATTTAATTTGTTGTTGTTCAGTGACGTCGTTGAGGGAGGGGCAGGGTGTGCATTCATATAGTAGCTAATAAGTAGTAGGTAATATATTTAGGTACCCTATATATTAGTTCTATATGTATTAACTATTTAGTCATTGACCATTGTTATTTCTCAAAAAAAATGGATTATTTATGTCAATGATAGTAACCTGTGATATTAAATAGTAAGTATAAAATTATGTAAAAAGACTATTTGTATTGAGATAAAAATGCAATTTTTTTAATAATAATAATAATTTATTAGCCATATGTAGTAGTTACAGTTTAAACAAAATTGTGGAGTATAATGGCCCAACTCACCGCTAAGGAAAACCTCTTATTGGTGAAGTTGGAGTAGGTACTAATAAAAATCCTAAGTAATTAAAATAATATAAACTTTAAAAATAATAATGGAAACTTTAACAGAGAAAGTATAACAATTAACATGAAAGATAAAAAAAATTAATATTTTGTTATTTTAATTTAACTAAAGTTAACTAGATTTACATCATATATACACTATGCTTCAAATATTTGGGTTGTGATTTTATGAATTAGCCAAATTTTAACATACTTTTTGTATTGTTTATACATATAATTGTAATGTAATTGTTAGTGAGTGGTTTTTTTAGTTTTATTATGCCCCCCCCCCTCAAAAAGTAAAAACCGAAATGACGCCACTGCTGTTGTTACTCGTAACCTATGATTTTTACGTCATAAAACTCAGCGTTTACTATTTCTTCTAAAAATTAAGATAAATAAATTTATAAATGTCCCACCTACCACATATTATGACATAATATTGTAAAATATGATAGGTAGGTATATAATCTATAGTAATATGATGATTGGTTGTTTGCGCAGGTAATTCGGACGATAAAACGCTGTCACCCAGGAGGGATGCATCCGGTGAGAGACTAGGTAGACGCAATTCGCTCAGGACCAACTCGGCGTCCCGCCGCTTACAGGCCACACTGCAGCGAAGTGGTTCAATGAGACAGATATCGAACAAAAACAAAACGGACGAACACTACGGTGGGGTGTCGGTGGAACCTAGTAAGTACGGCCTGCAACCGCTGCTGACGATCCTATATAATGTTAATAATAATATTATTATAATATCGTGTACTCAATGACTGTACTACGCTCATAGTATTATTTATGACTATAATATAGTGAGTCATACACTCATACCTATATTATAATACTATGAGCGTATCGAATAATAATATTAATACGGCGCAGTGAGTATATAATATAATATTCGTCGGTGTGTTATTCGCAGAAAAGTCGCCTGGTATTTTTTCGAGACTGTTCGGCAGCCGAAGATCGAGTTCCAAATCTCGAAAGTCCAACAACTATTGTTGCGCCACTCAGTTCCCTCCAGACGAATGGTTCAACAAAAGCGTACAACCACAACACTCGATCTCCACACAAACGGAGAAGGTATTTATGCTATAATGGTATTATATATATATATTATTATGTAGGTGCATACTGCATAATATACATAATGTTATTGTAATCTGACTTGTTTTAGAAACGTCATTAATCAATTCGAATTACTTAAAATACCGAAAAACTAACATGCGTCACATTTCGTATTTTCGTTTATGAAATTATATTAAAATATTTGTAGTCTACTAGTCTGTAATATCAAATTTCTTTCCCATATTTTTGACGAGTCACGCGTTGGTGGACTTTATAATAACTATTGTATATAAAATAAAAAACGTGTTTATTTTATGGACACGCTGATAAATGCATAACGTGGTATGATTATAATTGCAACCAATAGGTAACGTAAATATAGATCGCAATTTGAACTCGTATCAATTATTTCAAGTAGCAAATGTAAGCCAATATAATAACTACAATGATTTGCTAATTTTTATAATATTATCGTCACATAATCTCTATAATTTGTTTCGTTTAAAATTTGAATATGACCCAGAAGGCTGAAACTTTGTGTGATGTCGAAACAAGTTTAAACTGTTATACAATAGTCGACTATTCCAGCCACCGATAATATTTATTTTTAAAAATTTGAAACGTCATCTATTGCGGTATGTAAGTAAATATGAAATGTGTTATTCAAAAAATTAAATTTATCATCCAATGTTAATCGTTTAGGTATGCTTAGTAAATCTGTAAATAATAGTACCTACATAATAGGTGCAGCATAGTGCATACGAATCGCCAATCGGTATACGACAGTTTACATATCACATACGATGATAAACAAGTCAAAATCTATGATTTTCCTTGCGTGTTTTTCTACTTTTAATTGTACAAATTAATTCTAGCCCTCGAGTAGCTCCAATAATGTTGTCATTTATTATTATATTAATAATTATATCAAGGACTGCAGTGACCGCTACAAACAGCCTCACACTAAGATTTCAGTTAGGTTATAATACCGAATACCACTCGCAGTTATTTTATTTTTTTTTTGTATAGGTAGGTATATATTATTATTTGTTTATGATTGGTTCAATGACATGCCAATGGCACCCTATATAGGCTATATAACAACTTACAAGTAACAACCAAACAATATTTTAATAATATATTATATATGAGTAGGTAGGTACGTAAAAATAATTCATTTTTTGTTCGTTGCGTAGTCGTAAATACCTATTAGTCACCCATCCGAGATTTAACAACCTTTGACGGCGTTCGTGTAAGACCAGCCTCGTCACTTATTACTCGTTACTTATCGGCATTTCGATATCCAGTAATTCCAGTTTTATATGCTCATATCACCTATATTATATATATATATACATTAAACATAGGTACGTACACGATATGTTATATAAAATGTTTTAATACAATATTTTACGTCCTCGGTATATCTTACTAAAACTAAATATAATAATTTATTTTTATTTATGAGTTTATTACTTTATACTGTAGGGTATAATATTACATACGACATACAACAAAACTAAATACTGTTGGGAAATAGGTCGTTGTTAAAATAATTGTTTAGATCTCGAAACGACTTTTTCTATATTATGCATATTATGTATGTAATAGGTATCTAGTCTTTGCGTAATTATATTAAATATTAATCCATAAAGGTTAAAATTACATTGAAAAAGATATTTATATACATAATATATAAGTAGTAATGTATATGGTACCTACATGGCTATATATAGTATATACGCCAAGTTATAGCTATCTACTTATGAATGAATAATAATATAATTATCTTTAATAAGGCGTTCGATAATGAGTATACAATTATGATTAATTGTATGGCAGGGTTGGACGATTTCGGAATCATTGAATTGTTGATTCATTCGTGGCTTAAAATACGAGTCACGATTTATTGACATTAAACTACCTACTACTATTCTAATCCCAATTTAGCAACTTTCATAACCGAAATCTCCAGTAGTCTTCCGCGAAAGTGTTTGATCATTTCTAATTGATAATAATAATTGTCGTTGGGTGCATTGGGCGTAAACATGTTCATTTTAGTTTTATTTATCATTTGTTGGTAAAATTCAAGTGTGTCCTATATTAATAGGAAACGCTGATACGGTACCTAAGGATCGGAGAAGCTTAAACAGTTATTACTATGGTTACCTACGTGTTAGAAGAAGAATTGATCATTAGTTGTAGTTGATAAAAGCAGTAGTTTATGTTAACTTGAACAATTTCAAAAATGTTAGTTTCAGCTTCATCTACTCAGCCCTTCAACTGTAGCAGTCTACTTAGAATTTCACATCTATGTGTATGAATATATATAGTAGAGTAAATAATGTTGTTAAGTTAAAAGTTACCTAGCTATTATTAGGTTGGTATATATTCTTTAAATTAAATAATATTTTTAATCACCAGTAAGAAGAGTCGAATACGGAATAATACGAAATATTCCCGTTATTATATACGATTAGAATATCATCGCAGAGTATTCATAGGTAGATAACCAGCGCCATTAGTTTTGTTGTGTCAGAACTAAGAATCGTCAGAGGGAGAGGCCGTGTTTCTTGGATGTAATATAATTTTTTTTATGACATGCAAGTCATTCCACAATTAAAGTTTTACCTGCTACAGTGACATAATATAGTACGTCATAAATATATACGTAGGTATATAGTGAGTAGTGACGTTGGTAAAAATGTACAATGGCGTATACGGTTTAAAGTATATACCTATATGAACACAACGAAATATTACAACATATTATTATACAAATGTTTAAAAATTCAAGAAAACCTTACACTGTCTTATCGTTCATACAGCGTGTCTACGAGCATTAATTCAATAAAAATGTTACTGACGTGTTTGTTAATCAGTTTACTGTTTACGCTTAGATTGACCAATGAAATAATAAGTACCTATGCTGTATAATCGTGATGACTATAACAACCTTGTTATGGTCAAAACTCAACTTCTCTCTTGAGACATAATATGAGTTTTCATTTAGTGTCAAAAAACAAAAATAAAATCGTTATCGTTTTCCAATTAGCTGATACGTCCCTCGCCCTGGAAATCGCTTAGAATCTAAAAATTATTTATTATTTCAAAATTAAAACCACAACTATTTTTTTCTTTTTTCAATTTTTGTGTATACAAACTGCATCAAAAAGTAACTTTTACAAGTTTTTTTTTAAATCGTTTCGATGGTGAAGTGAGTAGTAGGTTACTAAGACTTTCTGGGTCAACATTGAAGAGCTGCGTAAGTTGGCCCTGCTGTGTCCTAGTCTCCGATAACTATCATACATTTGCACTTGAAATTCGCTACTTAGTTCTAACTTCTAAAAATGGCATTGAGCCATTGACCATTGTAAATTCTTGCAAACTACTTGCTAATTCAAGCATGAATTAAAAAATCTTTCTGTTAAGTTGAAAGGCCAACTTTATGGACATGGTAGTGCCGTAGTGGTAATATTATTGTTAAGACATTTTTAAAAAAATACAATTGCAAACAGATAAAAGTATCAGATTGCAAACTGTTGTTAATTTTGTTTATTAAATTATCGCATTAAAAAGCATATATTATCTCGTCTTAGTTATAGTATAGATATTTTATTCTTTCCTAGTTGTATGCCTCTCCTGCAATAAAATATACGCATTTAACGATGCGTGCAACATTATATTATTATAATGTGTATGCATAAAATGTATATTAAAATAAATGAAGAGTGAGGAATATAAGGTCCTAATGAGGACTGTTCTATATATATATATATATATATTGATATACAATATTGCATTAAAACATTAAAATTTGTTAAACTTTGCGCGCAGGACGAGGACGACTGCAAGGCAAAACAACAGTGGCCGGCCCCGAGGTTGACGAGGAGCGCAACGCTGCCGAGGAAATCGCGAGCCGTTACGGCGGGTCCATCGTCGTTGGCCTGCAGCAGTGGTGTCGACGGTTGCGGCGGCTGCCACGCAGACAAGACGCCCGCCGCAGCCAAGAAGGCATACCCGTCAAGCGGTTCGTCCGGGTACAACTCACTGCCCCGGATGAACGGCGGCCGGAAGTCGGGCAGCGTCAAGAACTCGCCGTCGTCAGAGCTGTCGTACAAGATCGCCGCCGCAGCCAAAGCGGAAAATGGCGACGCGTCTTGCAAACCAGACACGCCGACCGGCCACGGCAGCAACTTCGATTCGAGTTACAGCTGCGACGAGATATCCGTCAACGACTCGTCCATCACGCTCACGGTGGTCGCGACACCGCCCGCTAAGCCCAAGACGGCCGCGGACTTGCGCCGGGAATACTTCCGGGGCTTGAGCAAGTACGGTACGGCTGCCACCAACGGAAGCTGCAGCACGACCGGCGGCGTCCGCAGTAAAGACCATCACCAACAGCAGCAGCCACAGCAACAGCAGAAGCAGCAGCAGCAACAGCAACAGCACCTGCAGCAGAAGTACTTCAACCGTAGTGGTGGCAGCGGGCGTGATAAACAAGCGATCGCCGCGAGTCTGCACAAATACCTCGACAACGCGTGTAAAATCAAATGACGGAAGTTCACCCCCCCCCCCCCTACACACCACAACCCTCGCCCGTTTTTCTCCTTATAACAACATCGCATATATATAGTAGTTGTCTGTTATTATATAATATATTATTATTTCTTCTTGGATGGACATTATTGCATCGTCGACCATTGTATACCTACGACTTACCTATTATACAGCAAACAACTTATAATATACTAACACAACGTATATTAATAATTTAAATGATATTATTATTGTTATTATTATTAGTATGTATAATTTACACGCATGAAATAATATTAGTAGGTACGCATATTGTTATAATATAATAATTGTATACGGGCGGTTGTGAATTCGGCTCTGCAATAGTAAGTTGTGAATTCGGCTCTGCAATTATAGTAAGTCGTAAATTGGGCTCCGCAATAGCAAGTAGTTGTAAAAAGGCGAACATTATTGTAAGCTCTGCCCCGATCACGAGTACATATAGTAAAATTTGACGCGCAAACTGAATCCCGATTTTTTTTCAACCTTATGGGTTTTCGATGGAAAAAAATAATAAGGCCGAATTTACAATCAATCTTTTTATTACCGCCTATTGCATCAAGGTCGAGCTTACATTTTCTCGTTACATATTATATTATTATTAATTATAGTAAGGTATATTATACCTATTATATACAACCCACTACGACCAACCTATATATATTATTATGTTATGAATTTATGATAATATTGTTAAAGGAATGCCATATAACATTTTTTATTTATAATTATTATTATATACAAACTAATCAAACAGTACTATATTATTATATTTTTTATTATATACGATTATAATATTATGTTATTACCTATATAGTACACTTTTAATTTTTCAATATTTTAAATGTATATACCTTCCTCGTCCATATTTTTTTACGCCAATGTGATACTTACATATAGGTACTATAATATACACAATTATAATATTCTATATACCTACACCATTATTGTTGACGATCTGGATATGAAGACGAGGAGTATATTTTGTAAACTTTCCGGGCGTATATATTATAATATTATATGCCTGGATATAATATCACTTGTTATAAGATATATATTAATAATAATTTATACTTAACTGAATAAAATACATAATATTCTATTTATCTATCGTATAGTTAAATACAACCTATGTACTTATGCAAAAAATAAGATTCTAAAAAAAAGCGTGTAGGTACAAACACATTATTTTGAATTTTCTATGTAGAAATTTTTAGGTATACTAACGATTTGGTATCGATAATAATTATGGGCGTATTGCACTTTTGTTTTTAACAACGGTTTTTTTTTTTTAATTTTGTATTTAGTATTTTGAATTATTTGAATATTTTACTTATTTGCTTCATCAGTCAATAATTATTAAAATTATTGAAGTTTGATTTATAAGGGATATACTTTTAACTCCATAGTAATCCTAAACCTTACAATTTTTTATTGCAATCGTATTGTCGATATTTCCTTCAAAATGTTCAATTTGTTCAGTATCCCATAACATAAGTAATATTTAAATACAAATTCGACCAGTCAAAAAATATACATGACATAATTGTGTTTTTCACCTTTGAATTTGTGTCATCAATTAATGTTATTTCCATCCTTTTTAGTTTTAATCCCTTGGTTGATATTGAAGTTTGCACATTCCCAATGATTTTTATGATACCACTTATATCTAAATTTTAGGTTCCTCTTATGTTTGTTTTTTATATTTTGTATTATATAATTTAAAATTTACCTATTGTTTTGTTTTGTTTTAGGTCAAGTATAGTTTTAAATTTGATGAATTCAAACTCAAATTTTTTATGGTACTGAGCTCACTTTGAATTTTTTAGACTCAGATTTCTCAGTTAATAATATCTCGAATTTATGACCTAGACGATTAAAATTTGAATTTCCCCTTCAGATTGACCCATTGGTTACAGAGTAAATTTTCGATCTAAAAATATAGAAATACATGTACCTATGGAATATATTTATTTGAATAATAAGATATTTTTAGTTCTAAACATAAAGGTACTTCAAAAGTAACGGTCTAATTTCAGAGCTTTTATCGTGTAAATTAACATTGAATACTTTATTTTCTCCTTGCTTTAATTTTTAAATTTTCTGATAGAGGTTTTATTTATAACCCATCCTATAATTGTCCATCTACAAACTGAATAATAAAATTTAAATCACCCTATCTATAAAAACTCCAACGTCCAAAACTAATGTGGCAAATAAAAAAAAAAAAACATTCAGATTGTAAGCTGAAAAGCGTTAGTACTGCGTACGAATCGTCGAGTACAATATTTACGCGACGTAAGTGGCTGGAAACAGGTGTCAGGTTGTATTTGTTATAGTAATTCGGTTTGGCAATCTTCATCGGTATTCGGTACTCGGTAGGTACTATAATGTATTATATACTAGTCAATAGGTAATAATACTATAATAGAAAAAGTACCGAAAGGAACGATGGAACGAGTCATTTGGAATCGTTCCTTTTGTGAACCTAGAACGAGAGGAACGATTCATTAAAAAGAACGAAAAATCCCATCACTAACACAGATATACAGATGAGAAACAGATTATTATCTATATCTGACATCTGTGCAATATTGTGCATATATTCTTTACTCTATGGCAATATGGCAAAGAGCTGCTGCACTTGTACCAACTTATTTCCTGTGATTCTAGTATAGCTACTAACCTTCCCCTAATCCGGCTAAACATCTGTGTTTAATTTCAAGCGAATCGGACTAGTAGTTTTCAAGATTTTGAATGTTGAAAAAGGCGACATTCATTTTTATTTATATATATATATATATATATATATATGCATAAATAGTCAATAGATAAATATTAAATAGATTTATATAGATAACCAATGGCAACCATACAATATATTAACTAAATAATATTCTTATAATTCATATTATTCTTAATATGATTTAACTTTTATTGAAAATGGGTCTGATAATTTATGGCTCTGTAGAGGATGCATTTTTATATATTAGATACTAATTACGTTGATGTATAATATTTTGTAACTACCTACTACAAATATTATGAAGTAAATGGTTGCATATCACCATCATCCAACATTTTTAAGGTAGCTAAAATTTATCAGTAATATAAAAAAAATCTTGTTTATACATTTTAAGAGTTGTAGGTAGGTAAATAATATTTGAAACCAACCAACAAAAAAAGTTATAACTTAAAAATATATTTTTAACTTTAATACAAACATTAAAAATGTAGTTAAAAAAAATAAGTTATGTCTTGAAGACATTTTGATCCGGGTGCTTCAATTGCTTTTTAATTTTTTTGGAAAACAACGTCAAATCTTTAGCTCTGAAAATGAATTACACAAATTAAGTCAAAGTGATTAAATTATATTATGTGCTAATGTTATTTACAGTTGGGCGTTCTGTTTTTTTTTGCATCCTTTTCCATGTTTCTTAATAGGAACACCTCGTGTATCGCTTTTATTTGTTTTTCCAACTGGCCAATCCAGTACTTTTTGGTTGCTCATTTCAATGTCACCATGATCATTGTTGTCATCGTCACTGTCATCAACATCATCATTAGACTTTTTCTTCCTCTTTTTCAACTTTTTCTGAGTTACCCCAAGCTCTGGAAAAAAATCCAGAGTAATTAGTTTTAATAAAATAGAATATATTAGGTATATTATACAATTTAAACCTCAAACAACAAACTTTTTATTAGGAATGCATGTTTCAAGTAACGCTTTGCGTCCTTTTTCAATTTCAGAGATTCACCGCCGCCACAGGATTTGACACTCTTCATCACAGAACAGACGCTCATCTTGTCGTCGTCTTTTTTCATTCTCATTAGCTCTTCAGCCAATTCCAAATAATTGGTTTGTTCCGGTTGTTCTTCATTTCCACCACTGACGTTCGTCGTCCCCTCTGCGGCTTTAGCTAATTTCTTCTTGTACCTACGTACTTTTCCCATCCTGAATTTCGGAACAACAGTAATTAGATTAAGAAAGACTGTTACGAATTAAGTGTAGTGCAATAACACCAGGCGTGTTTCGGCGTTCACTACAAATTATTTAAATCAAACGTTCAAAAGTTGAACCGACCACAGACTTCTAAATAATACAGACATACAGTATTATAGTATTATAATATAGAAGACATCTGTGCACTGTGTCTACAACTTGCAAGTTACAACTTTACAAGTAAGCGAATGGTAAAATGGTAAATGGCGAATGCTGATATATTAACAGAAGATCAGCAGTCAGCACCATAGAAAAGAGATCAGCACGTTTTTTTCAACTGTTATCAGTTAGGACAGGACACTACACAGGACTGGACACTATTGGCAGGAGGAGAGTAGGGGGTCGTCCACAAAGTTGTACATATTCGGTACACATGCGACACAGCGCCATCTGTGAGATAAGAAATATTTTGTTATATAAAATACCGCCTTAGTAGTTCATGCTTAAACTGTTCACTCTTTAAGCAGTAATTATTTTCTGATAATATTCTATAAATAGTATCATTATTATCTTGAACTGTGTTATTAATAATTGTTTTTCAAAAATTAAAAAGTAAATTTATTATCAGTTATTATCACTAATATCACTATTCTTTAGTGTTATCCATGAACATTAGAGGAAGGACGCCGAACACAGCAGAACGAAGCGTAAAAACATGGTCCGGAATTATCGCATTCCGCCAGAATGCGCGTCGGACCGTAATGATGTCGTTTTTACATATTGTATAGCACAGGACATTTAATGGTTTTTTATTATTATAATCTAAATGGTGAAATTTATGAATAATTACTATAGAACATTTTTTTAAAACCAAATTGCCCTCGATCGAATATAAGTGTTTCCAATAATATACGACTTTTATAAAAAGAGATAACAACTATATCTTTTTTTATAAAAGTCGTATATTATTGGAAACACATATATTCGATCGAGGGCAATTTGGTTTTAAAAAAATGTTCTATAGTAATTATTCATAAGTTAAACCATTTAGAATATAATATTAAAAAACCAATAAATTCCCTATGCTGTACATGTAAAAACGACATCATTACGGTCCGACGCGCATTCTGGCGGAATGCGATAATTCCGGACTTTTATATACACAGTTCGGCGTCCTTCCTCTAATGTTCATGGCTGATATATACAATAACTAGATAGCTAACTGATTATATCTGACGCACTATCATTAAGAAGCCGAAAGCCATATTATTGTTCTGTGATTATGCATACCTATTATGCGTTTAAAAAAGGCACGGACTAAGATATACCTATAAGTCCGTGAAAAAGGGTAATTATCAATGTCATGAAAGAAAAATATCACATCCATTCGGCTTGGAATAATTAATATCAAATCACATTATCACTAGGCGCTAAATTTAAATATTTAATTTTAAATTTAATATTATGTGTAGTACCTAAACGTACGTAGCTAACCTAAGTCCCTAACCCCACCTACTATACCTGTATACACTATATAAAATGAACTAGGTACTACCCATGTATTATAGTTTTTGCCATACAGCTATGCTGACTACAACTTACTGACGAGCCTACAAATCACTAATTAGTATTAGCACAGAATAGATTAAATTTAATCTATTCTGTGGTATTAGTATTTAGTAGGTACCTTCCTGTAGGCATAATGAATGCTATTATTGCTTTAAATTATATTTTTCATCAATGTTAGTATTAATTTTCTTGAAAGGTATTATTTTGTTATTTGTTCAGCATTCTTTGTTTAATATTACCTACCTATTTATTGTACATGTAAATGAATTTCCAACAATAATGACCTATAGTAACGTCTCAACATCATGGACACGATAATATGTCATGCTCATAAATATTAGATGGTTAATAATTTTATTTTTATATAAATATTATTCTGGTTAATTATGCCATGAGTAATATGTTTTCAAAATTCGAACTAATTTAATTATTCTAAATACATTTTCATTTACCATGTTTATAATCTAATAAGATTTCTCAAATACTTAAAAAGCCTTATTAAATTATCTTTAAATGTATTTAAAATTCTCCAGATGTCTAGAGAATGTCTCAGAATGTCCTTCAGTTGAGGCTTGGGCATTATTGTCTGGGACCTGGGTCCTGGGCTATATATATAGAACATATGCTATATTACATAATATAGTGATTCAACATTTTGAAGAAAACACAGTATAATACTATGTTTTAAATCTTAAATCTGGATAGTTAATTTTTGTGTACAAACTATATAATAGTTATTTTGACCTAAAGTCCTAACTTAACTTTTTATTATTGTATTTATAAAATAACATGATTATGCAATACATTTTGTAATGTTACGTTCCTAACTATCTTATTATTTTATAACTATTCAGTTTTCTATTTAAAACATGTTTCCATCCACTACCAATGTAACTTGATAAATTTAATCACATGTTAAACTTATTTTGGTACATGAAAATTTAATGTATTTACGAAGAAATTTATCCTATGTAATGTACGCATCACATATATTGTATAGTACTATAATATTATGTGATAGATATTATGTCTGTGGTGCAAAGTCAATAATGCAAATAATTTTATAACAAAAATAAAATAAATTATTTTATTTTTTATAAAAATGTATAACAATGGTTTGTACTTCAAATCAATTTATAGGTACAATTTTTACCAACAGTTCTCCTTTTCTGACACTGTCACCTTCTTTACATAGGATTTTTTCTATTTTTCCTTCAATTTGTGCTTTAACTACATACTGAAATAATGTTGATAAATTATAAAATTACATAATATTATAAATATACTTTATCTAAAGCACGTTTTACTTACTTCCATTTTCATGGCTGTTAAAACCACTATAGGATCACCAATACAAATATCATCACCAAGACTCACATTTACTCTTTCCACTGTTGATTGGGTGGGAGCTAAAATAGTTGAATTGCTTCCTGTGTCTTGTTCATTACTATCAATTGATTTTTCATCAAAAGGCAAAATAACAGTAAATTCATTTTTTCCATCCTGTGTATAAAATAAAAAATTATAACTTCATATCTATTGGACGGTTTTTAAAATAAGTGTTGGCAATAGTAAAAAGTACCTTATTAAATAAATGTACCGAGTTTTCTATAAATGCAATATTGGATTTATACAATGTGCCATCTACTACACATGTTAGATGGAATCTATTGGGCGATGATGTATCTAAACTACCAATAACATTTGATTCGATTTCAGTATCTTTATTTTTAAAAGAAACATTAAATCTACTGTTACTGGATCCTACTCCACAATACTCAATTCTGACATCGTACATTTCTGAAACAAAAACCAAATTATATTGTAAAGTAATACATTTTTTTTTAAAAAATGTATGTTATTTGTATTTTACCTCCACAAAGGTTGTGTTTCAGTTTAATTTTTTGTACATAATTGTGATTTACCCGAAAACCAGTTTGAGTGGCAAAAGGTGAATATGGATCATTGGTATTAATATTTGTACTAATAGTGTTATTTTCTTCATACAATATTAAAGCAATAACTGCCTATAACAATAAATAAAATTAGCAGTTCATAATAAATAATATAATTAGGAAATTAATCAAGTCCAAATAACATTTACCTGAGATATCAATTCAGTATTAGGTAGATTTTTTGATAGAAGAACATTTTTATGTTGTTCTATAAATCCTGTATGAACATTACCTTTTAAAAGTTCAGGATGTGCACACAGCGACATTAGAAATTGAACATTTGTTGACAAACCTGCAATCTACAGTTATTACTTATCAATATATTAAGATATTATACAATCTAGAAAATAATAATAATATTTTTACATTGAACGCTGCCAAGTTATTTTTCAGCTTAGCAAATGCATCTGATCGAGTTTCACTCCATACTACCAATTTTGCAATCATAGGATCATAATGTACAGAAACATCATCTCCTTGCCTTACTCCTGTTTCTACACGTACATCATCAGACACATTAGGATAGTCCAAGTATTGTAAATTTCCAGCAGCAGGTAAAAAATTATTATAAGGATCTTCAGCATAAATACGTGCTTGAACAGAATGTCCTTGGAGTTTGATTTCATTCTGTTTTAAAGGCAGTTGTTCACCTTCCGCTACCTGCAATACCACTGTTTATTTTTTGTTCACGTTCATGTCTGAATTCATTGAAAATACTTTTATTTGCCATTCTACTAAATCTACCCCGGTGATCATCTCAGTAACAGGATGTTCTACTTGTAATCTAGTGTTCATTTCCATAAAATAAAACATATTGGTTGCATTATCAAATATGAATTCCACAGTCCCAGCACCTTCATATCCAACAGCTTTTGCCGCACGGACTGCAGTCTCTCCAAGATGTTGTCGTAGACTCTCACTTAATCTGGGCTAAAAATTATTATGTTAATTAAAATGTATTAACTAATCAATACTTAAATCATTATTAAAGTCTTACAGCAGGCGCTTCTTCCATGACTTTTTGGTGACGTCTCTGTACACTACAGTCGCGTTCAAACAAATAGACACAATTTTTGTGCTGATCAGCAAACACCTGTACTTCGACGTGTCGAGGTTGTTGTATGTACTTTTCAATTAAGACCGAATCATCACCAAATGAACTTAATGATTCTCTTTTGGCTGACATAAGATTTTCAAAAAATTCAGATTCTTTGGTAACAATTTTCATACCCTAATGTAATAAAATATCAAATAATAATATTTATATTTTGTTTCACAAGCATAATAATATATGCAAATCTATAAAGCAAATTTAAAAATTCAATCTTACTTTACCACCTCCACCTTTAATGGCTTTGATCATAACAGGGTAACCAATTTTATTAGCTTCATGTTGAAGGAAATCTGAATTTTGATCTTTGCCATGGTATCCTTCAATTACTGGCACACCAGCTTCAGACATTATTTCTTTTGACTTACTACAATTATTTAAATATTTGTTTTAGATGATACAATTATTTAAAATCCAATTAACAACCGATATCATTTACCTTTTGATTCCCATACTTTCAATAGCATTGGGCGGTGGGCCAATGAATATCAAGTTATTACTCTGGCAATATTGAGCAAATGATGCATTCTCTGATAGAAAACCATATCCAGGGTGTATGGCTTGGCTATTGGTTTTGATTGCAGCATTGACAATACGGTCTTTGAGCAAGTAGCTGTGGGCGCTTTGAGCCGGACCAACACGTACTGCTTGATCAGCCTTTAAAACACATCATTTTTAGGCACGTTAATGTACAATAATTTTATTAAGTATTAAATAAAAGTATAAAAGTAATTTTTATACCATAGCCACATGCATAGAATCTTTGTCAACATCACTGTAAACAGCAACAGTTTCAATTTGCAAACGACGTGCTGTTTTGATGATACGACAAGCTATTTCTCCACGATTAGCTATCAATAATTTGGTAATACGTTTTGTTGGCCCATTATGAATATTTCTCACACTGTAAATAACAAAATAATAATACACACATATTATATCTTTTATAATACAATCGTCCAGACGTATACATTTACATAAATTATAATAGTATAAGTATACTCAACCTCAAATGCATCTTTTGAGATTATACAAATAAAACTAAAAATGTAAATAAATCAAAATTCAAATACGTTTAATTAATAAATTCCTGTACCTTTTTAATAATATACATGATTGGTAAAATAGTAAATATAAATTTATGACCTTTTTTTTAGAGTTAACTACGTAGGTATAAATTATTATGAACATAAAAACCTATAGAAATTATTCTAATAAAGCAATTAATATTATACATTATGTTTACTATGAGTAATAATTAACAGACTATAGCTAGGTTGCAGGTAGAGGTATAGAATATAGATAAAAGAACCAACAACTAACAAGAGATTCGTACTTATCTTATCTTCACTGTGTGAGCCATATTATGATGAACTCATAGTAATAATTAGTAACAAAATAACAATTCATATTCTATACATAATAAATAGGTTAACGAGAAAAAATGATATGTTATAAATTATTCATATATTGGTATATAATATAGCTAATATATACCTAGGTTATATCTCAGGTTAAATTAGTCAAGAGCATCTAAACACAGGAATGCACCTTATGCTGAGTTATGCATATTGCGCATGCCCATAGTTTATTCTCCACTATCATCACGGACTAAGAATTAAGAATTAAGATATAATAAAAAAATAGACATTAATTAAATACGTATAATATCATTGTTTAAGAAAAACGTTTCTGAGCGGAGACGGTATGTCAGTCTAGGTTTAAGACATATTAGGTATATACAAATCTATGGTAATTGGTAATAAAAAAAAATTCACCTATAATAAATTCCAAATTAATCATATCACAATATCCGTTGACCGTTAGATATTATAACAAGTTATACATCAACAACAAACCCTGTTACTATCATTGATATATAATAGTACACTTTAGAACAGTGTTTCCCAACCGGTGGTCCGTGGGCCAGTCATAGGTGGTCCGCGGTACCTTTCTTAGTTTTCTATTAAAATTTTTTTTTTTTTTTTAAACAGCGAAAAATAATTTATTTTACCGTAATATACGGTTATCTTATCGTATACAAAAATCACACTAAGTAAATTATTAGTAAAGTTTAATAATTATATATAATAGTACACTATAATAATAAAAATGTTCCAATAAATTTTTGTTTATTCTTGTCAATGAGCAAAAAAAAAAAAAAAGGTATTCCTAGTTTGAGTAAAATTGAGGTGGTCCGCGATCTATAAAATATTGTCAAAGTGGTCCGTGGTGGTAAAAAGGTTGGGAAACACTGCTTTAGAAGTTTCAAGTACCCACGAATAATATTATACAATCACAACAAAATAACTAAAACAGTTATTCTAGGTTTTTTTTATGTAATTTCGTCAAAATTTGAACTTAAAATGACTATAAAAATAAACTGTGCTTATGTATTTTTGAGATTTTTTGGTAACAGAATTAACTACTTACGTGGAATCTTGTTTTAAATTTTCAATCCTTAGATATAAAAGCTGAACATTTTATAAATTATTAACTGCAAAATAATAATTTTTTCAAAATTCGATTTTTAATTCCTTATAAAAAAAATTGTGCATATGTATTTTTAATATTTTTCAACTGATATTGTTACAATATATCAGGAGACTTGTATTCAATTTTTACACTTTTTGGCCCAACAGATATAACTTTATTGATATTGAGAGAAAAAAAAAACTAAAAAAAGATGGGTAAGTGGATGTCGCTCTGCTGTACAGTAGGTTACAAGTGGGTCACTGTATAATGGATGCTTTTAAATTTGAATTCAATGATACAATATCATTGTATAAGAAAAACGATTCTGAGCGAAGACGGTATGTTAGTCTAGGTTTAAGACAAATTATATACATATCTATGGTATTAAAAAAAAAATTGACCTAAAATAAATTCCAAATTAATCATATCACAATATCCATTAGGTACTTATAACACGTTATACACCAACAACAAACCCTGATACTATCATATATATATAATAGTACACTTTAGAAGTTTCAAGTAGGTACCCACGAATAATATTATATAATCACAACAAAATAACTATAGGTTTTAGATTCTGAGTGAAACGATGAATGTATTGATTTTACAATGATGTGTGTTTTTTTTTTATTTTTTTATTTATTTTTTTTGTGTCTGTGTACACGATAAGTAGTCGAAATAATGCTTCGATTTTCGACTTCAGTATCTTGTTCGATTGGAAAGTGAATATCGTTGGTGCATTGGGGAGGTCAAAATTTAAATTTCCCAGTAGTTTTCAAGAGCGCCGGGAAAGACAACATAAAAATTAAGGAAAAACGGGAATTTTTACGCAAAATCGGTTTTCCAAAAAATCGATTTTGGTTTTTGGTGTAACATTAAAACAAATAACCGTAGATACATGAAATTTTCAGTGGTTGTTTATATTTGCATTTTCTATACACGATAACATTTTCAAAATATTTTGATTTATTTTGAACAGTTTAGGGACATTTTCATTTTTCGTTTTTTTTTAGTTTTTTTTCTAGAAATATCAATAAAATTTTATTTGTTGGTTGCGAAAGCTTGAAAATTTAATAGAAGGCTCCTAATATATTGTTTCAAAGGCAGATGAAAAATATTAAAAATCCTTAGTCACAATTTTTTTTATAAGCATTTAAAGTTCAAAAATTGACAAAATATGGAAAAATCACGAAAATTAGCAAATTATTTTGAGTTAAGAATTCGTAAAAATTTTTCTTTTTAAATCTAAGATTTGAAAATCTAATACAAGATTACTCATAAGATTGTCTACCTTTATCAATAAAAAAATCTCTACCGGAAAGTCAAATTAAATTTTTATGAGCGTTTGAAATTCAAATTTTTACAACATTGGATATTCACTCGATTTCTCATGTGGCAATTTCCTTTTTTTGTTGTAATTAAAAAACGAATTACTGTAGATACATGACAATTTCACTGAATGTTTATATTAGCATTTCTTATACACCATACAATTTTGAAAATATTTTGACTCTTTTTGAGCCGTTTACGGACATTTTCAGTTTTCAATTTTAGATTCTGAGTGAAACGATGAATGTATTGATTTTACAATGATGTGTGTTTTTTTTTTTATTTTTTTTTTTATTTTATTTTTTATTTTATTTTTTATTTTATTTTTTATTTTATTTTTTTTTTTTTGTGTCTGTGTACACGATAAGTAGTCGAAATAATGCTTCGATTTTCGACTTCAGTATCTTGTTCGATTGGAAAGTGAATATCGTTGGTGCATTGGGGAGGTCAAAATTTAAATTTCCCAGTAGTTTTCAAGAGCGCCGGGAAAAACAAAAGAAAAATTAAGGAAAAACGGGAATTTTTACGCAAAATCGATTTTTCAGAAAATTGAATTTGGTTTTTGGTGTAACTTTAAAACAAATGACCGTAGGTACATGCAATTTTCACTGGTTGTTTATATTTGCATCTTCTATACACGATAACATTTTCAAAATATTTTGATTTATTTTGAACAGTTTAGGGACATTTTCATTTTTAGTTTTTTTTTAGTTTTTTTTCTAGAAATATCAATAAAATTTTATTTGTTGGTTGCGAAAGCTTGAAAATTTAATAGAAGGCTCCTAATATATTGTTTCAAGGGCAGATGAAAAATATTAAAAATCCTTAGTCACAATTTTTTTTTATAAGCATTTAAAGTTCAAAAATTGACAAAATATGGAAAAATCACGAAAATTAGCAAATTATTTTGAGTTAAGAATTCGTAAAAATTTTTCTTTTTAAATCTAAGATTTGAAAATCTAATACAAGATTACTCATAAGATTGTCTACCTTTATCAATAAAAAAATCTCTACCGGAAAGTCAAATTAAATTTTTATGAGCGTTTGAAATTCAAATTTTTACAACATTGGATATTCACTCGATTTCTCATGTGGCAATTTCCTTTTTTTGTTGTAATTAAAAAACGAATTACTGTAGATACATGAAAATTTCACTGAATGTTTATATTAGCATTTCTTATACACCATACAATTTTGAAAATATTTTGACTCTTTTTGAGCCGTTTACGGACATTTTCAGTTTTCAATTTTAGATTCTGAGTGAAACGATGAATGTATTGATTTTACAATGATGTGTGTTTTTTTTTTTATTTTTTTTTTTATTTTATTTTTTATTTTATTTTTTATTTTATTTTTTATTTTATTTTTTATTTTTTTGTGTCTGTGTACACGATAAGTAGTCGAAATAATGCTTCGATTTTCGACTTCAGTATCTTGTTCGATTGGAAAGTGAATATCGTTGGTGCATTGGGGAGGTCAAAATTTAAATTTCCCAGTAGTTTTCAAGAGCGCCGGGAAAAAAAAAAAAAAAAATTAAGGAAAAACGGGAATTTTTACGCAAAATCGATTTTTCAGAAAATTGAATTTGGTTTTTGGTGTAACTTTAAAACAAATGACCGTAGGTACATGCAATTTTCACTGGTTGTTTATATTTGCATCTTCTATACACGATAACATTTTCAAAATATTTTGATTTATTTTGAACAGTTTAGGGACATTTTCATTTTTAGTTTTTTTTTAGTTTTTTTTCTAGAAATATCAATAAAATTTTATTTGTTGGTTGCGAAAGCTTGAAAATTTAATAGAAGGCTCCTAATATATTGTTTCAAGGGCAGATGAAAAATATTAAAAATCCTTAGTCACAATTTTTTTTTATAAGCATTTAAAGTTCAAAAATTGACAAAATATGGAAAAATCACGAAAATTAGCAAATTATTTTGAGTTAAGAATTCGTAAAAATTTTTCTTTTTAAATCTAAGATTTGAAAATCTAATACAAGATTACTCATAAGATTGTCTACCTTTATCAATAAAAAAATCTCTACCGGAAAGTCAAATTAAATTTTTATGAGCGTTTGAAATTCAAATTTTTACAACATTGGATATTCACTCGATTTCTCATGTGGCAATTTCCTTTTTTTGTTGTAATTAAAAAACGAATTACTGTAGATACATGAAAATTTCACTGAATGTTTATATTAGCATTTCCTAT